CCCCCCCCCCCCCCCCCCCCCCCGAGATGCCAGATGGTGGACCAGAATCGCCTCGAAGCTGTGCGGAAATCATTCTCCATGGCCTCTCCAAACTCCTCCCATGCCCGAGTTTTTGCTTCAGCAACCACCCGAGTCGCATGTTGCTTGGACTGCCGGTACCCATCAGCTGCTTCCGGGGTCCCACAGGCCAAAAAGGCCCGATAGGTCTCCTTCTTCAGCCTGTCAGCATCCCTTACCACCGGTGTCCACCACCGGGTTCGAGGGTTGCTGCCACGACAGACACCAACAACCTTGCGGCCGCAGCTCCGGTAAGCCGACTCAACAATAGAGGCACGGAACATGGCCCACTCAGACTCAATGTCCCCTACCTCCCCCGGAGCATGCTCGAAGTTCTCTCGGAGGTGGGAGGTAAAGCTTCGTCTCACAGGAGACTCTGCCAGACGTTCTCAGCAAACCCTCACAATACGTTTGGGCCTGACCTGCATCCTCCCCCACCATCGGAGCCAACTCACCTCCAGGTAGTGATCAGTGGACAGCTCCGCCCCTCTCTTCACCCAAGTGTCCAAGACATGTGGCCGCAGATCAGATGAGATGATGACAAAGCCGATCATCGAACTGCGGCCTAGGGTGTCCTGGTGCCAAGAGCACATATGGACACCCTTATGCCTGAACATGGTGTTTGTTATGGACAATCCATGACAAGCACAGAAGTCCAACAACAGAACACCACTTGGGTTCAGATCAGGGGGGGCGTTCCTCCCAACCACACTCCTCCAGGTCTCACTGTCATTACCCACGTGAACATTGAAGTCCCCCAGCAGAACAAGGGAGTCCTCAGGAGGTGCACTTTCCAGTACCCCCTCCCAGGACTCCAATAAGGGTGGATAATCTGAGCTGCCGTTTGGTGCATAAGAACAAACAACAGTCAGAACCTGTCCCCCCACACGTAGACGGAGGGAGGCTACCCTCTCTTTCACCCGAGTGAACCCCAACACACAGGCACCAATAAGTATGCCCACTACTGCTCAGCGCCTCTCACCATTTACATGAGAGACCTGGATTTTAACAAAGAGTGATGACAACAGTGCATAACAACGACAAGAATAGACATTCACAAATGATTCTTACAAATTTATGTATTTATTTTATTTGGTTATATTTTACAATTGAAAACAAAATTATAATTAAAAGGAGAAAGAAACTTAGAGAAAAACAGCTAGATTACGAGGCGGTGTAGAAAACTAAAAACAGGAACATGTCTGCATTGGTTCTTGCCACAAACTTAACGTATGTTTAAAGCCACTTGGAGAGGTCAAGGTCGAGAGCTTCAAATATTTCAAGATATAAGAAGGAAGCAGACCATGGTGTGCTTTATAGATGGAGATGTATCAGTGTGAGAGCCTATGTATAGATAATGATGACCAACTGACCAATGAGTACAGAGTGCACTGATGGGTATGATAGTTACAACCAGTTATGAACCTTAGAGCACCATGGGAGACCACGTCTAACATATGCTAGGAGCTGGCAGAGGCATTCATGTAAACAACCAGTGATATTCATTTCTTCAAGAAATACTGTTTTGATTTGAAATCACTTTGTCACCACTTTTATTTATTTATTTTTTTACCTCAGTGGAAATTTCCTTTTTGATACTCTAGTTTAACAAATTTTACATTATATACAAATCTCTGTGTGTATATGTGTGTGTGAGGGGTGGGGGGGTGAGATGATGTAATTCCTGTGTCAGAGAGCAACAACTACACTGGGTGACCTAACATATTCCTTTGTGTAAAAGGAGTAGTGGTGTGGGGTCGGGGGGTGCATGATGACCCACTGTGTTTTTCCTGACCCTGACTTCTCTTGCTTTCCAGAGACACAACGGGGACATTTTAACAATGGCGTCAGTCAAGCACCTGAGTCATCGGCGCTTTGTGGTGTCTTTCCAGCTTGATAGCGTTCAGCGTTCTGATCAAGACCTTTACCGCTGCGTCACTCAGTCCCCTCGTGGCTCAGGGGTCTCCAACTTTGCTGAACTGGTAGTGAAAGGTAAAACTTTTATTTTCTTCATCTTTTATGGTTTGCTTCTGGTTGGGCTTATCTTTCCCGGCGGCATTTCCCCCCTTGCTCTTCTTCAATATTAGTTTAAAAAGCAAAACAAAGCAGACTTATACTGTCTGTGCATGATTGTATAAGTCATGAAAACCTTTGGTCAAATGTATTTACACATAGTTACACATTCTGGTTTCCTAGCATGAAAGGTTTCACGAGTTGAAGTTGTCAAACACGCTGCCATCTTTAGCTCCTCAGCTCTCGTCAAAAAGCCGCTCACTTGACTTGGACCGCTGCATCCGCTGTCATATCATGAACCACAGATGGTGACCTCACTCTCATTACTCACCACAGCCCATCAGCCTGACTCGACTCTGACAGCATAGTAATGACATGGCAGTGGTTTGATGGCATAACAGACTCCAGCCCTCAGCAAAGTGAGGATGAGAACAGGAAATGAGGACACAACATATTCTCTGTGTTCTTGTCCTCTACTGCTGGCTCCTGTTAATGCAGACGCAGAAGAACAAGTTAAGAAAGGTTTCATCTCTGTTGCTGTTTAACATTTTATTAGTAGATCACTTGGTGGCTTTTGCACAGACTGGAGAATTTCAACTAGTGAGTGGATTTCTTTTAAAGTTTCAGTACGTAGTCCATTTAATTTATGCCATGGTTTTGTTTGTTATGACATACAGTAGCTGAAGTAAAACAAAAATATACTAAACCAGGGTTATTCAACTGGTGGCCCGCAAGCCACTTCTGGCCCACGGGTGACTTCTTTCTGGCCCACTAATGAGTCCATAAAAAATATTTTTTTGTGTGCGGTTTGGGTTTGAGTTCTGTTTATTACATTTATGATTCAATACAACAAAATAAATCTAAAAGGTAACAGAGCATAACAATACAGTATTTTTCGCCGTATAATTTGCACCTTTTTGCATAAATTTGTAAATCCTGCGACACACTGAAGCGTCTAATATATGTCCCCCCCCCCATATTTATAACTCAATTTTTGGCTGAGATCTGATGATTTCATTCATTCTGACATAAAAAATATTAAACATTACCATTTGCATCCACTAGAGGGTCCTCAAGCCTTATGGCAAGCCAAACGTCTCATTAATAGGTAAAAGTGGCTATTAATGAGACACTTGTTTCCCATACAAAGCCACCTTCGTCTCACTCTGGAACTCCTGGAGCAAACGTCAAACCAGCTGCATTTTGCCTCGCCGCCCAGGAGAAATGCAGCTGGTTTTGCATTTATTAAGGAAAAGTTCAACTGAGACACAACTTTACTATAATGTCGAGCGAACAAATAATTGTTTTTAAGTGTTAATCTTGTTAAATTCTTGTTAAAGTCCTCCTGTGCATGCTCCCACGGCCGCCATTTTGGCAGCCAATCGATTTTTAGCACACCGGCCCACATTTCCAGGTTGTCGGCGGTGACACATAACAAACGCGACACGTCAGCAGTGACGCATAATAGAAGTGACCTATACGGCAAAGCGACTTATTTATGTTTTTGTCCACTTTATTAGACATTTTTGGACTGATGCAACTTTTACGGCAGGAAATCTGGTACTTGGTTTATTTACATAATGACTTTAATTGCTGGATGTCTGGCCCCTGAGCTGCTGGCTTTCAGTAACTGTGGCCCCCTGAGCAGTTTAGTTTAATAGTAAAATAAGCCATAGTTAAACTAAACTAAGCCATATTTTGGTCTAATGATTAAATATGGTATTTTAACAATTTAAAAATACTGTTTATCCTTTTAAAGCCAGATTTGGGCTCCTTTTTATACAAAATAACATAAACATGCAGAATATCACAGGAAATTATTTTCATCAAGATCTTCTTCAATAGGGTCCAACACATTGTTTTGACCCTACCGCTAATATAATTAGATTTATCATAAGATCTGTTAGATTATTGAACTATTCCACTAATTTTGTCATAACTATTTGGATAAAAAATTATTCAGCAGCATAATAAATGTCACCATAAATCTATGAAGCCATTATCTTTACCCACTTCTTTCTTTCCAGTTCTGGTTTCAGCTGAAGGCCTAAAAGAAAGTGTTAGTCAGTATATAAATGAACAGTTAAATGAATGGCAAACAGACCTCTTTATTCAGTAATTTGCCAAAGGCCAGGGATCAATTTAAAAATAAAGCTTGTAAAAATCTGTTTCTTCTGTTTAGTAAACAGTATTTCACAAATTTGTAAAAATATTAACGTCTACATGCAACAGGTGTTGTGTTTAGCTGTGTTCTAGTCTCGAGCTGAGTGGGCTGATCTAAAGGGGAAACAGAAGTGTACACAACACCAAAAGTGAAACGAGATGTTTAGGGACATTCTACAACAGAGCTATTCAACTAAATTGCTCAGGGGTCGGACATCCAGCAATTAAAGTCATTATGTAAATTAACCAAGTATTAAAATGATCTGTTACATTTTAAACGTGTTCATTTTGCTGCATAAATGCAATAAACAGAACCCAAAAGTGTAATTCAAAGAAATTACATTTCAAGATTTTTTTCCTTGCAATAAAAATAGTGATATTCTGTGAAACAATATTAAAAACAAATATCATGCTTCCTTTTTAAAACAAATACTATTCCAACATCTCTGACTTGACAAATCTTTACGCTTTTCAAATTAAAATAAAAATGTTGACCGTTTTTGCTGTTCACTGAATGGCCGACATGTTGCTGTTCCAGGTGGGTCCAACTGGTCCACCAGTTCTCATTTACAATGAAATGGCTGCACAGACCAGTTCTTCCTCAAACGGTTCATAAATCACAGGTGAAGCATCCACATCCTGCTCAAGTGTGAACTTTGAGCAGAACCAAAAGAGGCGGAGCAGAACTCAGCTGGGCTGAAAGCGAGCGTGATGAGCAATACGTGTCAGACGTCACATTTGTGTCATTTACTATAATGAATTAACTCACTTCATCGCGCCTATGTGGTTAACTATTTATTGTAAACTAACTACAAAGCTGCTGTGCGTCATCATCAATATTCCCCTTTTCGTAAAGCTTATTTCTGTATGCTTGTGAAAATGTTGAAAATCGAGATGGGCACAAAGCAGGATTGTCTCTCTGGTTGATTTATTTGCCACTTCAAATAATTTTAAAGGTCTCACACATTTTTTAATATTTTCATTATTATTATTTTTATTAATGAGCTCATTGGCAGGCCAGATGTAAGTCACTCATGGGCTGCTCCCAACCTGCTAGCATAGATTGCATCGTGCTACAAAACAACACAAAATGTACAAGGTACAAAAAGACACCTTTTCTCTAAATAAACACTACTAAATATCATCAGCCGAAGCAATGTGTTTTCACCTTAGCTGTAAGATCGCGTTTCAGTTGAGGGGTTGTTGTGGGAACGTGGAAATTTTCATGACTTCAAACACCAACACGAGGAATATCATAATACCAAAAATATGTAGCAAAATGCAAACTGACAGTTAAGGTTGTTTTATCAGAATATGCATATAAAAATATATATGTTGTATATTTTAGACACACTATCTATAAAGTTACAGTTTGGTTGTAAAACTGCACTCGTATATAAAATTCAATAACAAAACTTGTCAAAATGATGAAATTTAAACATGTCCAGCACTGTTTTTTTTTTTTTTAACATAAAAAACATATTTAATTCTTGAAGTGCTTGGCCATGCATGCCTCATGGCATCCATCAAAGGGTACTGCAGCACCTTCTGCACCCCTACTTCACATGGCATTAGAAAAAGCCCTCCCCGTGTCATTGTGGCTTGTACTTCCTTACTGTTTCTGAGTCGGGAGAAGAGTCTTCTCTGTTAAAGCACATGGTGACCAGCTTTAACTTGTGTTTAAGTCAACCGGCTGTAACTCTGGCTTCTTAATAGACGTTACAAGAACTTAATAAATACCTTTCCCCTCCACTGCACCACTAAGAAGGGCCTCATCATTCTCCTAATGAGTTTGGTCTAATTCTTCTAGCAATACAGAAAACACACAGAAATCTCAATGCAACTCTTCTAATGCATTGTAGTCAAGACCAACTTTCTTTAATTTTCACTAAAATATAAATGTATAAGCCATAGAAAACACAAATCAAGCCCAAAGTAAAGAAAAACTGTGGAATGAAATTAGCGAGTTGTTGAAACTTTTTTCCTACTGGCTGCTTTGTCGTGCCTTGGCGTTGCCCCTTTAGCAAAGAGGCAGCCAACCTCAATATGAGCTGCTGCAGGCCGAGGGAACCAGAACAGACAAAGGTTGGGTTCAGCTAATGTTTAAGGCACACAGAGAATGAGGGCTGGAAAAAAAAGCAGAGGCAGCTCTACAGGAATGAAGGATTAGTCACAGCTACAAATCTTCCTTTGATCTTTTCTCATGCTTTGTCTTGGTTTCTTTTCTTTACTCCCATTCCTCAATCTCACGGTGTAATTGATCTGCCTGTAAGTGACATTTGACCCTCGGGCTCCTAAATAAATTCTCGGTTTGAAAATCTTGTTCGACAGTGATGCAGAGTCTGCTGTTTTATCATGGTGAGCGACAAGGAGGACTGGTAGAGGAGGAGCATGAATAACACATATTCACACAGAGTTGTCATGTTCATTGCATTAGATGCACACCTGTTCTCTTCAGTCACCATTTTGCTAAGATTTGTGTCTCTTATTTGCTCAAAGGCGTGACTAATCTGCTGTATAAACACATCTTGACCTGCTCACATCCTGGAGTCTTTAGACTCACCAAAAGCTCATTGGACTTTAATTTACCTGAAAGGTCTCTGATTAGTTAAATGAATGTTATGATTTTATTTTGCGAGAACGTCCAGCAGCAAATGCTATTAATAAGTAAATGTTTAGAGTTTCAAACTAAGGTCATCTTATGATAAGAATGATGGAGTTAGAGTTGTTTTGGTCAATGCTTGTAATGAATGTTATGCCCAACCTCATGTAAAATGTGTTAGCTCTTGGAGTATGTGTTGTGAACGACTCTCAATTCAGTTTTTAATTCAGTTTATTTATACAGCGCCAATTCACAACAGAAGTCGTCTCAGGGCACTGAACAGAAACATTCACATACATGAAAAGAAAATTAATAACATGAATTATCTGAGGAGCAGACTGCTTTGAGTTTAACTCCATCTCATAACTCTCATCTTGAGCAAGCATGAAGGTGACAGTGGAAAGGAAAAACTCCCTCATGAGGACGGAACCTTTAGCAGAACCAGGTTCAGGACAAGTGGCCATCTGCTTCGACAGGCTGAGTTTGAAACAATGGCAGATATGCAATGGCAGGTCCAGAATCACATTAAGATAGAAACAATATCAAATGAGAACTATTCAATTTTAACGATTCATTGTAAGAAATTAGATCAATTTGTCCTCTAGTAGTCTAAGCCTATGGCAACATAACAAGCCGACCCTAACTATAGGATTTATCAAGAAGTAAAGTCTTAAGCCCAGTCTTTAAACTGGACAATGGGTCAGCCTCATGGACAGAAACTGGAAGCTGGTTCCACAAGAGAGGAGCCTGATAACTGAAAGATCTGCCTCCCATTCTGCTTTTGGAAACTCTAGGAACTGCAAGTAAACCTGCAGAGTGAAGTACTCTGTAAGGAAAATATGGGATATTAAGATCTGTAATATAAGATGGAGCTAGGTTGTTGAGGGCTTTGTAGGTTAGAAGTAAGATTTTGAATTAAATTCTGGATTTGACAGGGAACCAATGGAGAGAAGCTAAAACTGGAGAGACATGATCTCTCCTACTAACTCCAGTTAAGACTTTGGCAGTTGCATTTTCAGTTACTACCACAGCAAATTGTAGCTTGATATTGGTCAAATTGACGTTCACTGAAAATCAGTACTTGAAGTGGGAGTAAAAACAAATACTTGTCTTTTTTTTTCTGACAGTACCTCCATCCCCCATCGCGCCGCCTCAGCTGCTGCGCGCCGGCTCTACCTACCTGATCATCCAACTCAACACCAACTCCATCCTGGGAGATGGCCCCATCATCAGGAAGGAGATTGAGTACCGAGCCAGTCAGTCCCCGTGGTCAGAGGTGCACGGAGTCAACATGGTCACCTATAAGCTGTGGCACCTGGATCCAGACACGGAATACCACATCAGTGTGCTGCTGACTCGGCCTGGAGAAGGAGGAACTGGCCCTCCTGGTCCTCCTCTAGTGAGCAGAACCAAGTGTGCAGGTGGGTTTCCACAGCATCTGTCACTTTTCACCATTTCTTTTTTTAAATAATTAACTACATTTTTCCTTCCAAATTTGAAGCCTTAAACCTTATTTTTGATTTTTGCAAATAAATATGAGCAGCAGCTGCTTCTTTCTTCCAAGTTGAAAACTTTCTCCCAGCTTTCATTCATATTGCATGTGGTTTGTTTTAAAGGTACCTACCGGGGATTTCCTTGTAAGCAAACAAAATGTATGTCTACATTCAGTGGAACTTACCAAAGTGCACTTCTTGTATCCTTGATTCCCTGTTCTCCAGAACTCAAAAAAACCCTACAGGAATCCTTTAGCCTGAATAATACATGGATTATTGTCTGCCTCATCAGTACTTCACCCTAAATCTTGCAGTTTTGAGGAGAGAACTGTTTTTTTTTATTTGGTTCAGTTTAGGTTTTTTTTGGGGGGGGGGGGGGGGTCAATTGTTGGTCATGGGGAAGAAAAATAAAACGGCATTAAAAAGGGATTATATCAACAAAATGTTCCAAAGAAATCAAAGTGAAGGAACAATTTCTATTGTTTAATGCAGATGCAGATAACTAGACGATTCTCATTTACAAACAAAACTGCTCAGTCATCTTTAATTGTCCTGGCTCGTGCCTATAAATATGTCTCATAAATAAGACTCCATTGCATGTAACTAGGACGGTCTAATAAAGATCCTCAGCTCAATGTACAGATGCCCCGCGGCCTCATGCTGTAACTTATGTAACATAATGAGACTCTTTCATTATGAAGGCAAATCTGTCTCGATAATCTGCTGAAAATTCAATCTGAGGAGAACTGATAGACAAACTCTGACTCAGTCACTGTGTGGACTTATCTCATAAGAAAAGACACATTTGTTATCGCGGATGTTCTCTGAACTCCAGAGCTGTGGGAGACTGAAAGCGAGACTTTTAATTGCTGCTTGCATGGTAATATTGGTTTGAGGGTTATTTAAAAGATAACAGATAGATGATTGCACGAGCTAGCCTAGAGCTCGAGTCGTCGCTGCGTTCTTCAGAAGATATAAACTTGCAAGTTTAATGAACAGTTAAGTGTCATTAAAAAAGTGGGGAGTTGACATCGGAATGAGTTTTCATATGTCAAATCAAGTGGAATGGTGGTAACAACCAGCAATAGATCGATAAGTTTTATCTGAGTTTTATACCATTACAGTTCAAACACATGATTATTGAATATTTGAAGCTTTTATTGGCGTTAAAGTGTTAAACGGTAACCTTTTTCTGTAAAGTCACTTACATAGTAGTACATTTGAAATAGGCTGCAGCATTTTCATATAAGTTGAAAGAATTAAAAAATATATATCTGAAATCTGCTAAATTGTTGTTTTCAAATTAAAGGAAGTTAAATTGGTTTATTGAAATAACAAACACTAACTGTCCACTAATTATGGATTTGACTGGTTAAAATTTGCTCAAAGTAGGTAGATTTACACAAAGACCTTATCTGGAATAGCACAGAGCCATGTAAACCTTTTATTTATCATGTTTTTTCACATTGGGAAATCTTATTCAGTTCTATGTTTTTTTTTTTTTTAAGCATGACATCTGATTCAAAATATTGAAGCAAAATCTCAATGATTTATTTTAGTTTAATTTAATTGTTTAGTCATTTTCTTTTAGTGTTACCTTTCTGGAATTAATCAAACTTTGTGTTGAACATATGACCTGCGTGTTACTGTACAGTTCAGAATGAAAGAAAAGAAAAGTCAGTAAATATGACTCTTTTTTTTAAAAATAATTTCATTTTATTTTTTATAAACTGACCAGTTGACAAAGCTTATCTTGGTTTTTCGTGATGCATCCATCCCACTAACAAGGGATGTTTATTGCTTTTTGTTTGTTGTTTCTGCTTCTGAAACAGTATTTGATTGTTGAAAAAAGGAACATGTTGATCATGCATCAAGACAACATGTGGAATATATATATTTTTTTGTTATATTGAATCTGTACCAACATTCATACTGGGGTCTATCGACTTAGGCATACTGTTACACCTCTAAAAGTGAAGCCATAAAACATAACTTTTTTCACTGGTCACATTATGCACAGTATTTTCTTTAATTGCAATATTATGTCTCACTAAAAATCTTTTTTTTGGCATTGTTTACAATTGCCTCTCAGTTATTAATCATCCAGATACACCAGGGCTATTCAACTGGTGGCACGGGTGACAAGTCCAACCCACCAACGAGTTCATTAATAAGTAAAATAAAATAAAGCAATCAGAAATAACCAGTGAGAGACCTTTAAAATATTGCAAATAACAAATATTTAAGGTATGTGCCCATTTCAATTTTCAATATGTTCAGGAGAAAACAAAAGTACACGTTAAGAAGAGACACCTGGAACAGCAACATGTTAAACTATTATATATTGATAGATATATTGATAGTTAGTGCCCTGATGGCTCCTTGCTATTCACAGGGGGATGAGTGATACTAGCAATAACAACATTGTAAGAGGGAGACAGTTGAACATGGAGGCCCTGTCTCAAGAACTCACAACTGTCACCTTCTTAAGCCCCCAGTATACTGCCGCGTACATCCATACGCAGAGGTACGCACGTACGTATGCAGAGGTACGTGCGTACCCCCCAGGGCATGTCCGTGCAAAGCTCAAATTTTTACGACCGCATACGCGTACGCGGTGTCGCACAATAAACTGCCCAGCGACGGACTGTTTTGTATCCCACACCAATGTATTAAATTCCCCTTCTTCCTCCCTGATCTGGCCTTTTCTTTTGTTTTTTTGCCAAGAGGCAGTGATCTCTTCCTCCTCCGTTGATGCCATGACTGAAATGGTGAGAAATGGAGGAATTTGTCACGAGCAAATTAAACTCAGATCCAGCGTGGCTGCGGGAGGGTCTGGCGATTTCCTGGTGGGCTGGTCTGATGTGTGGGCTGGAGAGCCAGCGCTCTCTGTTTTATTTTATTTTTTAGATCTTTTTATTAACAGCATATAAACACAGAACACCGCTGCGGCTGAGGCTGCCAGCGCTCGCTTTTTTTTTCTTTTTTCCGACCTGTCAATCAATCCAGTAGGCCTGTCAGCAAATGACCAATCGGCGACCTCAATTTGTCCCAAAGGTAAACGCCCCTTGTCTGTGAAGCTGCTCGGGGTGTACGCTGGAGTCTCATGTACAGTACACGCGTACGTACGCGTGAACGGACATACGCAGCAGTATACTGGAGCCGTTACAATGCTGTTATCGCTAGTATCACTCAACCCTCTGTGAATAGCAAGCGGCCTTCAGAGCACCAACAATCGGTCGTTAGGCTGATTGTCGTCCTTTATCATGTGAACAGCTAGTTCTAGATGTCCACAACAAACAGGTTGATGAGAAGGTGCTATTTATAAGACTGAGTTTCTTGTAGCTCCTCAGATTGACAAAGTCTTTTAGATAAAAGATGAAACGGTTCAACGAGAAGAATTCGTCCAGAGGACCTGATTTTACTTTGTTAGATTTTTCGACCTGGATTATTGAGCATGTATCATGGCATCCCTTTTATTTAGTTCTGTTTAACAAACCATCAGGTTCATTAGAATTCACAAAGTTTTAGTAAACTTACCCTTGATGTTGATAAAGGTGGGATAAAAATGTCATATTATTAAAGAAATGTTATAAATCTCAGTAGTCATTCGGGTTAACTATTTTTTCCTCTTTACATTTTGTTGAACATTTTGTTCTTCTGCTCACATTTATTTAATGTCTCTGTACAAACCCCAAAGGAGAGCAATGCTATATATCACAACTATATTCATGCTAATTTCTAATTATATGCGCAGCACAGAGCATGAAAAATACCCCATACTGGGAGAAGATGCTGGCAGTCATTAGCCCTGCATGAATCTGCATTGTGTACATTGTATAGTCACAGGCGTGCAGAAAGAGAGGCTTTTGTTACCCTAAGGCAGTCTGTATGTTTGTGTTTTCCCTGGTCATCACTCTTGTCTACACCCGACGGTCTCCTCCTGCCACACACCATCCCTCACACATCTCCCGACCCGCTCCTCTCCGGGCCTCCTCTCCAATGACATATTAAAACTACTCTCCTCTCCCAACAGCCTAAGACACACCTCATTCATCAGTTTCTGTGAGTGAGCTCACAGCACTCCAACCTTGCCTGTAACCCCATTCTCAACTTTAAAGCATCAGATAAAGTCACAAAAAAAAACTTAAAATAACAAAAGACCTCAAGGGGGAGAGGAATAGGAGGTATTGTATGGGTTCGAGGAACTGAAATATAAAATTAGGCATATACGATTCTTGACAGCATAGTAACTGTGAGCAAAAATAGCACTGTTCTGTGACATTTAAACAAAAATGTAAAAATCTCTCATTTGATTCATTTGCTTTTATTTATCTAAACTTTAAATGCTCTAAAAAAGCACAGCATGTCATGATTTCAACTCTATGCCTCCGGCTGCACTCTCGGCCACGCCCACTTCTCCGATGCAGAATGGAGATTGACAGAGGAGGAGAGAGGAGGAAGTTTCTTTTGCAGTATGGGCTGCACAAAGGGGCAGCAGGCGCTAAATAATTTAAACAAATTTATTTAATATAAAAATTCCATGCTAATCATGCGGCTCATCCATCAATCAGCCAATTGTGCGTCATGTCCAATCTTATTTTGAAAAACCGCGATAGAGCGAGTCCACGACAAATGAATCGCAAAGTAGCGAGGGACTACTGTACTTGTAATTATAGTAATTTAGTTTAGTATTACAGTATCTTAATATATTGTAATATAACTATGACAATATAGTAGAATAACATATAATCTTTATTTAAGTAATTTTAATTTAGATTCAGAATCAGAATCAGTTTATTATCGCCATGTCAATGAACGAGGTTCACAAACTAGGAATTTGCTTCGACATAAGGTGCGAATAGTAGTAAAGTAAAATAAAGTAAAAATAAAGTAAAAATTAAGTAAAAATGAGAACATTACATTAC